GAGACCACAAGGGCCATCCAGTCCAACCCCCTGCTATGCAGAAACTCATGATCAAAGCACCCCCAACAGATGGGCATCCAGCCTTTGTTTAAGGACCTTCAAAGAAGGAGACTCCATCACCCTCCGAGGGAGTGACTTCCATGGTCCCACAGCTCTTACTGTCAGGAAGTTCTTCCTAATGTTGAAGCGGAATCTCTTTTCCTGTAGTTTATATCCATTGCTTCATGTCCTATTCCTTGGAACAGCAGAAAACAAGCTTGCTCCATCCTCAATATGACACCCCTTCAAATATTTAAACATGGCTATCATATCACTTCTTAACCTTCTCTTCTCCAGGCTAAACATACCCAGCTCCATAAGGCATGGTTTCCAGACTCTTCACCATTTTGGTTGCCCTTCTCTGGACACTCTCCAGCTTGTCAACATCCTTTTTGAATTGTGGTGCCCAGAACAGGACACAGTATTCTAGATGAGGCTTGACCAAAGCAGAATAGAGTGGTACTATCACTTCCCTTGATCTAGAGACACTACACTGCTATTGATGGTATTTTAAACATTATTATAAGAAGCCTTGAATCCCATCTTGGGAGAAAGATGGGAAATGATTTCAGTAAATAAAATAAATAATACAATATAATAATGAAATTTTATGTTGGTTCTCTGCCTTGCTCCAAATTGATTCCAAGGGCTGTGCATACACCCACCAGTTATCTTCCCAATCCTCTCTCCTTGCTCTTCAGGTTTTGCTGCACTAACATTGGGCAAGCAGATACACTGAGGGTGCATCTACATTGCAGAAATAATGTATTCTGACACAACTTTAACTGCCATGGCTGCATCCTACAAAATCCTGGGATTTGTAGTTTTGTGAGATTTTGTACATTCTTCACAGGGAAGGCTAAAGATCTTATTAAATTACAAATCCCAGGATTCCATATGATGGAGCTACAGCTTTTAATGTGGGCTCAAACTGCATTATTTTTACAGACCGGATGCACCCATACACTTTCATGAAGAGCCAGGGAATCAGCTGGCAATGTGCAGAGATGAGCGCTCAGACTTTAAAGCCCCCTCAAAAACAAAAATCCAGTTTCCCCCTCCTTCAGTACTACTTGCCCTGTGATTTGTCTTGCCATTTAGAGATGTGATGAAGCAATTTCCAAAACTTCAGATAGCCAGACCTGGGGACCTAATTACAACTCCCAGAATCTTCTAGCCATGGTGGTCCTGGGGGTTCTGGAGATATAGTCCAAAAAACAAAGTTTTCCAAGCTCTGTGCTTGCACATTTTCCTGCCTCTCCCTCAGATCTGAAGGGGTTGTGTTGTTGTTGTTATGTGCCTTCGAGTCATTTCCAACTTACGGCAATCCTAAAAAAAATCTGTCACAGGGATTTCTTGGCAAGATTTGTTCAAAGAGGATCTACATTTGCCTTTCTCTGAGGCTGAGATAGTGTGACTTGGCCAAGGTCACCCAGTGGGTCTCCATGATTGAGTGATGATTTGAACTCTAGTCTCCAGAGTTATAGTCTAATCTGAAAACCACTACACCACACTGGCTCTAAATTACAAAAGAGCTGGACTAAATGTGTCAGCAGTAAAGCCACCTTTGACTTCTCCAACACAGTTCCCTATATACTAGCCGTTTCTGTGTGTGCCTTCAAGTCACCTGTCAACTTATGGCAACCCTTTTTAAGCAAGAAATACTCAGAGGTGGTTTTGTCAGTTCCTTCCTCTGCAATGTAGCATATATAGCACCTGATATCCATTGGTGGTCTCCCATCCAAGTAATAATCAGAGCTGACACTGCTTAGCTTCCAAGATTAGATGGCATCTGGTGCCTTTGGGCTATTTACTAGCTAATTCACAGTTTATCAGAAACATCTGAGGTTTCTGACCCTTCATGAGGAGAAGGAGCCTCATCTGGAATGTCAATTCCCCCCCAGGAAATAGTCAAAGAGAATAATTGCTTGAACAAAGGCCCTCTGGAGGAGCTAGAAAATTCTGTCTTAAAAGTGAGCTAGAGAAACAGTTTCTTTTCATCTTGAATCGTTGAGGAATGCCACCTTTATCATCTCCTTAACTACCAATAATATATATATATATATATATATATATATATA